CAGCATTTTTCTTTTCCCAAGTGAAGGCCACTTTCCTTGAGTTTTTGCAGCACGATGTCCAGGTTCCGCAGGTGATGTTGATCGTTCTTGCCAGTTACCACGATGTCATCCTGAAATGCACCTGTGTACGGCAACTTTCCAACGAGTTCTTCTATGACGCGTTGGAAGATAGCTGATGCTGGAGTTATTCCAAATGGCACTCTGTTCACCTGATAGAGCCCTTTGTGTGTGTTGATCACAGTGAGGTCTCTGGATTCTTCCGCTAAGGGGATCTGGAAGTAGGCTTGTTTACAATACAGCTTGGTGAACTTCTCCCCATGAGCAATCTTCACAAAGAGGTCTTCAGTCTTCGGTAGTGGGTACCTATCTGGCTTCAAGGCCGGGCTGAGTGTAACCTTGTAATCCCCGCATATGCGCACTTGTCAGTTTGCCTTAATCACTGGAACGATTGGAGTCGCCCACTGAATCCTCATCACAGGAGTGATTATGTGCTCTTTCTCAAGACGATCCAGCTCCTCTTCGATCTTTTGTCGGAGGGCATATGGAACTGACCTTGGTCTGAGAAACTTTGGCTGAGCATCATCATTCACGCAGAGTTTCAAGGCGTAGTCCTTCAGTTCTCCCAGACCTTCAAAGATGGAACTGTGCTTCTGTAGCACACCTGCGAGAGTTAAGGTTTCTGCACGCACGTTGCGCACTTCCTTCCAGTTCACTTGAAAATCCTGAAGCCATTCTCTTTCCAGTATGGGAGGTCCCCCATTCTTCACCACTTGGATTTCATGACGCTTGACTTGCCCGTTGTACCGCATCTCCACTTGAACCATTCCCTCTGGAACGATGCGCTTGCCGGTGTACGGCTTCAGCGTTATTCATGAAGGTCTCAACTGGATGTTTGGAAGAATTTCTTGAAACGTCTCCAGGTTGATCACAGTCACGGGTGAGCCTGTGTCAATCTCCATCTGAAGAGGTTTGTTGCAAATCTCCACAGTTACTGTGATGGGTTTCGGGTAGCTTGAATCGATGAAATAAAACGGAGTTTCGTCTCCTGAGTTCTGTGTAGTGACATGGTTGGTGAAGTTTGGCTTGTCCTTTCTTCTTGAGTCTTGTGGATCTTGTTTCCTGTCGCGACAGACCAATTGGAAGTGTCCTGTTCTTCCGCATTGTTTAGAAGTCTTGTTCCTTGCAAAGCAGTTTTCAGGGTCGTGATTGGTTTTGCCGCAGCGATGACATGGGGTCCTGCTCGTGCGAGATTTCCCTTTTTCTTCGCTGGCCTTTTTCGGAAGTGACGTCTTGTGTGTCCGCCCTTGCACCAAGCGACTGATATCTCGTTGGATTTCGGTCTCGCTCCTTATTTCCTTCGCATCCTTCATGGCTACCTCCATCGAAGTGGCAAGATCCACCACTGCCTTGAATGTCAGCGTCGGTTCAGCCAGCAGCTTTTCGAGAATCTTAATGCCGTCAACGAGCTTGTCTCGAAGGCGGTCGTTGAGGGAAACACCGAAGTTGCATTGCAGTGAAAGCTGTTTGAGCGCAGCTACGTATTCTGCGATGGTTTCGGATTCCAGCTGCTTCCGGTGATGAAATTTGTAGCGTTCGACCGTTTCATTGGGCGTCAGGTCGATGTGGTTCTGTACTAGTTGAACGATCTGTACGTACGTCTTGGTGCTTGGTTTAGCAGGTGCTGCCAAGTTCCGTATCAGTCCGTACATTTCTCGTCCGACGATAGAGAGAAGAACATCGGCTCGCTTTGATTCCGGAATGTCGTTCGCAGAGAACACCTCGATCCTTTCGATGTACGAAGAGCATGGTTCCGATTTCTGATCGAATTCTTCAATTTTCCCGATGCGAGGCATTCTTTAGGTTTGAGATGGGGCGTCACTCACGTTACCGCTGTCTCCTTTGTTCCGATGTCGCTCAGTTGTTTATATCCGTCTTTGTTGCATAGATCCCATCCTCGTCGCCATTGTAGTGTACCGGTAATTTTAGGGTAAGTCAGGATATATATTTATTCAACTGATAGATTACATTCGGTTGACAACGTCTTCTTCGGTCTGCGACCGCGCCCAGTCTGTTCTTTCGCGCAGGCGTCACGTTCTTCACCGGGGCTCGCGCTCCCTCGCCGGCGTCTCCGGTTGCACCAGCCCGCGCGCCGTTGCATGGACCAAAGGTCGTGTTCGTTGTGCGTGGCGAACACGCACACGATACACGGCACGCACACAATACACCGCAGATGTCATTGCTGTAATGTCGACGACAGCAAAAGTGAACCATATACTGGGACAGAAAATAAATGACCGGCGAAAGCAAGAGAAATGAAGAGCCAAGCAGTAAATAAATATAGAACCAGCCGGTTCTTGGCAATGGTCTGCAGTGAAATACTGTGTCAAGCATGCATTCCCCCACAGGTTCCCACACAGATTGCCCACAGAGCATGGGGTTATGAAACCCTATGGGTTACCCACACAGCTCCCCCAGGACTCTGGTCCTACACAGCTCCTGCAGGATCGCTGCAGGACCCACACAGCTCCCGTAGAACCACATAGACTGTATGGGGACCCATGGGGACCTATACACCCACACAAACTCTGTGGGGACCCACACAGCCAAACAAACTGTGCGGTGACCCATAGGGTCCCGAACACCCACACAATTTCTGTGGGACCCACACGGTTTCATAACCCTACGGGTCTGAGGGTTTTTTGTAGCGGGGCAAGAACTATAGAGCATCGGTTTGATTTTTAGAATAATATTTCTATTTACGACGTATCACACATTTTTTATCACTTTTGAAAAATTGAGTTTATTTAAGATGCTCATATAGCTTCTGTGACACAGTTCCCCAGTTGCTTGTAGCATTTAAGCAACGGCGAGGACGCTTACCGCATTCCGTTTCACACTCGTCCGCAGATTCAAAGCAGTTATCTGAAGAACGACAGCTCCCTGACGTCATAACTTGTTCGCACAGTTTGAATCGAGGATCAAAAGTCCATTTTGGTATAACATTTCCTCCTCTGCCATTTCCATAACCACCATTGTACCGGGGTTCACATTTCGCTTCTGCTGTTGTCAAGAGCCCTGTAAAATCAACCATATATGAGATCAACTAGCCTTAATTATATACACGTAGACATAGAACAACATATTACTGCAAATAACCGTCATAAGCCCCGTCGTTCTTAACGTAATAGGAACTGACATGTTCAGAAAAGTAAGGTGTGGAAAATTCCTATAGCATCCGATTATCGCTCCGCAACCATTGAGATTCCGGCATTCGGCGAATTATATACCGAAGAACAAACCACGAAGCAAAAAGCGTGAACATAATGGAGCAGAAAGTCAGGCTGCAAACAAGCTAATGAAGGTTAGACATCGAGCCAAACACAACACGAGTCCAGTCTGAGACTTTGTTTGCATGGGCGAGCGTGTGTGTTTCTGTGCGTGCGTGCGTGCATGCGTGTGTATGTGTGTGATTGTGTGTTGTGTGTGCGTGTGGTTTTTTGATTTCTGCATTCTCAGGGTTGTGTTACTTATAACATAATATGCCACATTCGGCGTTTCTTGAGCTGTCTGATTCTGCGCCGAGAAGCTGATGGAGAGGAAAGGGCGAGAGCGTGCGGGGACGTGACAGCGCCGAGCTCTGGCTGGAATGATTAGTGGGTAGACGCAAAACTAGCTGCCTTCATTTCTACTCATACTCTGAACGCGTTGGATTGCCGAACGCCGGCGTCTTCCGTTCCGCGTTCGCGTTCCAACATGTTCGAAAAAAATATATGCACAAAGGAAGCTAGCGTTACGTCTACCCCCTAATCCTTCCAGTCAGACGTCGGCGTTCTGACGTCTTCACGTGCTCTCGTCTCCCCTACTCCCTCAACTTCTCTACGCATAACTCTCCGACGCATCCGACGCATAGCCCTCCGCATGACGCGTTTTGGAGCACTGATACGTACGACGGAGAAAATGTACCACGTCGTCATGATATGCTAATCATCCGTGAACTTCGGCCCTGACTTTGACTTTGACAAGTTTAGGGCCCCTGGGCTTTAACAAGCTTGATAAAATCAACAGCGACCTCACGTTTAATATTTTAGCAATTATAGCGAAGAAGTGAATGCTCCCAGTATATAAAGTGTACATGACTAAGTCTTTACAGAGTTAATGCAAAAATAAGTGTCGCATTTCGGACAGGCACACAATTTAAAAGTCTAACTCAAATGAAGAAAATGAAAACCAACAATTATACGGAATTAAAATTAGAAGAAGGGAGAAAGTTATCAAGATAAAGTAAATATCGGGATATATTTGGTAAACTTGGGGATCAAAAATGCATTGTCCTTTATAGAAGAAACATGCTACGCGTATAGTTGAAAAGCGAGGAACCGGGAGTTTGTGCAAACATAAAATTACTTTCTTACATCATTAAAAACTTTTGCTTTTGCAGATAGTCTGTTGCAGGATAAGATCTGCGAAAGAGGCACCACCCCAAAAAAGGTACTCTCCACTCAATGTCTTGTGCACATTTAAATCTGAGCTTTATTTTAATTTTATATTTTGTGCCCATCATATCTCTAGATCACCATATGAAAGGATCGTACGGCATCATTTATAATTTTCTTTTTCAATTAACAATGTACAAGTCAATTTGATTTTTGGCCATGCTCGTTTGCCATACCTTGAATGTCTTTTGCCGCAGAGTCATATCTGAAGTTTATAAATCTGGCGCACTTCAGCCGACATTTATTTGACTGTTGCGCATAGTATGTGTATAGTATAGGATAACTGTGTGCAATCGTCCAGATTGTAAAGTAATTTAAGCAACACCTTGATTTATATTGTTTTATATGTGTCTTATGTGAAATTATGAGACATCGATAGTACAGAGACATAAAAAAAATTCTCAATAAAGAATTTTAACATGTTTGGCGCCGTACCATGCGTTTTTTTACATCTGAGGCCGGATTCTCAAAAAACATCTTATCTTACGAAATCTTAGCCAAGAAGTTCGTAACTTAAGAAGTTCGTAAGATCAGCCGAAATCGGTATGCTCGAAAGGCTTCTTAGCGTGTTCTTAGCTGCGAACTAGGGAACGACCAGGGAACGACAGAAGGCGCGAGAGGAGCGAGAGAAAGAGAAGCTTCCGGTGTCTCGTAACCGACGAGAACAAGCGAGAGGGGTGTGTTGCTATGGCGATTCTGACGACAATAACACTTTTGGTTTGATAGTACCACGTGTAGTTGAGATCTGATGGCGTCTCCACCACCCGTCAAAAAGAGCCGAAAGGCCAATTTTTCGGACAACGAGCTGTCGGCTCTGGTAGACGGATACGAGCAGCGCAAAGTGGCGATTGAGGGAAAAGGGAACACCGCGCATGGCTCGATTGCCAAGCAGCGGGCTTGGGAACAAATTACTCGCGATGTGTTCGCAGTTTCCGGCATCCGAAGGGAAGTGGCCGACATAAAAAAGAAATGGGCCGATGTCAAGAGCATCAACAAGAAGCGGGGTAAGTCAATCCTCAAGTTTTGGAGTTCGCGAACTTAAATGATACGATATGCTTTGTACTAATGTAAGAGGCAAAATGTTCGGCGCTAGCGCTGAGTCAACGCACGAGCACATTTTACTCCTTCACAATAGTGCTTTTAATAATGTTGTTGACATTAGACGCGCTAGCGGAGATGACTTAGCTAGATGCATCATTCTTTTGAGAACATTTGTTTTATGCTGTCATACACTGTGGAAGGTTCCCGCCTTCTGTTAGCTACGAGGGAGGTTTTAGCAAGCGTGTAGTGACAACTAACAGTGTTAAACCAGTTCAATTTTGCTCGAGATATTAGCTGGTGTCCGACACAGAAAAATGTCGCGAAGTTTGAGGTCATCCTTATGCACGTTCGAAAGGCATACCTGTTGCCCAAAAGCCTTGGCTAGGCAATGAAAACCGGTGATCGAGCAGTCGCGCTTACAGCAGCCTCCTTTGTCTGCTACGTTATTTAATACTGACACAATACGCAGGTGCAGCCGTGAAAAAAAGTCAGTGTGCCACTGGAGGCGGCGTAGGCGACGAGCCCCTCAACGAGATGGAGGAGAGAATCGTGGGGCTGCTCAACGTGGAGTCGGTGGAGGGCATTCCAGGCGCCTTTGACATTGGCGTTGCCCCAATTCAAGAGGTGTTTGTGGGTGTGCCCTTCTCCCTGCCACTCTCGGGTAGGTTTGCACAAGCCTGGATTAAACACTACCTTTCTTCATTAATGGTTGGCCCAGAATTATGTAGTTAAAACATTATTAGCAGCCTACCATGTGCGTGTCGCGTTTGTTGCTTTTCTTGGTCAAACTAATTTTTAAATACAAATTTTCAAGGTACTCCTGCCAGGCCGAGCTCAGCAAGGCCAGTTCCCTCAGCTGGTGAGTTAGCAAGGGTTCTACTTCCATTGCAAAATATAAAATAATAGTGCCGTCCAAGCAAACTACCAGTTAATTTGTATGTACCCGCCTAGTATGTACCTGTCACGTTTGTTGCTTTTGTTGGTCAAACTAATCTTTAAATAAAAAATTTTTAAGGTACTCCTGCCAGGCCGAGCTCAGCAAGGCCAGTTCCCTCACTTGGTGAGTTAATAATGTGGGCTGATTAGTTGCATGGTTAATGTTCCTCTTCATTACTGCTCTTCAAACAATCCCCGTAACCTCCAGTTTTGAATTATCAATCGGGTAGCTGATTATCCAAGTGATTTGGACTGGGACCCACATTGTATGGACAAGCAGTATGTTACTGTCTTCCCAAACACTGTTTGCTGGATCCGTACAGTGCATTTCTGGATCTTGTTTAAGGCACCACCATAACGGCAGGCAGGTCCACGGTTTTTACCATAGAAATCATAACATTACTTATAATGATTATAATTACATTACCTAATCACAACCTTTTCGGTCATTCAACCTGGTTGGTAGTCAACGAATACGGTGGCCGCCAGGTGCAGGTGTTGCTGGTTGAGCAATCAAGCTTAGTTGGTACAACTTCCTGCAATCTCTCAGTCCTGTGTTAGCATTTTTTCCATGCAGAGCCTGTATTTCCTAACAGCAAATATTTCGGTACTCAAGGCTGTTGGCTTTTCTATTTAGATAGCCAAGAAGCGAGCACAAGTGGCCAACCAGAAGTGGATGATATGTTGGCCCACTCTTCGGGAAATCCAAAGTCACGCCAAGAAAGTGAGTAGCAATCCTAAATGCTGCTAGATGCAGACCACACCATGCAGCAATACGAACATAACACTTAATGCAGAACCAAAATAGATATGTTGCAGCATCTGATCAAAACAAGCGTTCAAGTCCATAAAAAAAAAAAAATCTCCACTGTCAAAAGGAACAGAGTAGAAATTTGTGCTGCTTATAACTATTAAGGTGCAAGTTCTCTCATTAGCAACTTGTGATGATGATTCGTGCATGCTTCCTGTAGTTAGATATGGCCTGCATAGTTAATGCAATAAATGCAGGCAAGCTGGATAATGAGAACCAATAAATATTCCCTGAAGGGGACAAGGGACAAACACAAATCTCCAACAGCAGCTATGTGATTTGTGCGTGGCGCTGGTTTCATAGCTATATAATGGAAATGTGACAATGCAGTGGTGTGACCGCTTTGAACCGTGCAAACATCTTTTCCGTCGTCTGCAGGGATCAAGGAAGACCCCACACAAAAGATCATCGAGGGTCAACAGGCTATCACAGCCCGCTTGGATAGGCTTGTGGAGCTGCACGAGCAGATGGTGGCTCTAAAAGCTTACAAACTTAATGTATGTTTTCAAAATGGAAAAATTGTTCCAAAATATGAATAAAAGGGCACTTGTATAGAACAGCAATACATTGTTTCTTTATTACACAAAGTTTCTGGTGTCACCGCTGATCTCTACAATGATTTTCTGGATCGCTTCTTCCTCCTTGTAGCGCAGGTGAATCCACCGGAAGTTCTCAATCGGCCGTCTTATGCCATGCAAAAGTCAGCCGAGCGTAGTGCCGTGAAGACTAGTACATCCATGGAAAAACCCATTTTGAGCTTCATCACCGTCATGATTGAAAAGTTTCATGATGTTCTTGGAAACTAGCCACTGCATTTCCAGTGGCTAGTTTCCAAGAATTGCTAATAAATTATAGGCTGCACAAACATGCTTTCTCGATGAGCCTCCACAACTGCGTGCATGTCCCGGCAGCAGCCATCTGCCATCTCGCCCATCTGCCGAGTTGAACGTTGTTGGCAGTGTACCGTATCTGCGGCAGCCTAAAGGCATTGCGACAGGTAAACTTATTTGAATATGCTATTCGTCGTAATTTACCTTCACGTATTGCAGTGTCACCGAATCCAATTATTTTGCACCGCAACCGTGGCAGGTTCGACAAAGCGTTGGTGCAGCAGACGACAGAGCCAGCACAAAGGGGAGGGATAAGAATGGGGAAGCCGTTGGCTCGTCGCTCACCCGACTCAACTGCTCAAAAGTTGTTGCCGTGGTAACCTGCGCCTGCTCGCGTATGCCACATGGTCACGTGGTAGCGGGAGGAGTGGCATACCAAAAACTCCCATTATTTCTCGCACGCGCGGGCTTTTTGAAAAGGGTCTATTGAGAACTTCCAGTGGCTTCACCCCCGAAGTGGTGATGCGTGATCCAGAAAATCGTCGGAGATCAGTGGGTGTCATCTACACCCAGTGATCGCTTTTGTGCTTTCATAAGCTTTCACTTGAATACTTCGTTAACAAGGTTTCTCCTTACAACAATGCCAGCAGGCGTGTCCCTGGCGGTGCTCGGCCTGTCTTCTTCGTCTTCTTCCTCCTCCTCCTCCTCCTCATCGGATTCCACAACTGTAAAAAAAAAGTGAATTTGATGTTGGTGCTTATACGGCGTAAGTTTGATCTGCCATTGAAGGGCAACACTGGCTTACGCTATAGATCCAGCAATTTAGTCAGTTTAGTAAAACTGCTTGCATGGCATCTTCAGCGTGCACCACGCAGTAGTGATACATGACCACACCCCAGTACGAGCCGCAACCACAACGAAAGGGGTGGGTATTTGAGCCAAGATTTCTGTGTTCTGCTGCACAAGCTTTCGCTCCACATGCTACGAGCTGGTGTGCACTTAGCCCAATCGGCCCCCAATCATTCACCACCCGCTACTGTTCAGAAAGTGTTCCAACATTGTAATTCACGGACATCCTCTGCAGAGGCATTGAGAATCATTTTCATCCCACTGGAACTGCCCCCAAAGTCTAGAAAATACATTGCTATCCGAGTTCGGCGAGTCTCCAGATGACTGACAATTTTGTCCTGGAAAACATCACTCATATGGGTTAAATGAGCCTTATCCAGCAGTGTCAGTTTTGCAAAAAAGCACAGCGTACGCACTACTCCGCAGCTACGGCCGTTTCTTTGGTAACCTGTTAAGCGTCACGTAACAAATCTTATAACGTGGCACTTAATGGGTTACTAAACCTAAAACTATTCTGCCAGTGGAGAGCTTCTAAAAGAGATTATAGTCAAAGCTGTAGTCGGCTCAGCTTAGCTGCCCCTCTGCAATCCTGTGACAAGAAAAGTGGGCGAACCTTCTGCAGAACCCAAGTCCAGAGTTACAGCAAACAATGCTTTCACCAGCCTCATTCATGTGATATGACCAGGTGATTAATGCATAAACTCTTCAGAGAACATGTCTTTCTTACCTGGTGGATCTGTGAGGGAGACATGGTGCCGGATGCAGTAATTGTGGAGGACCACACACGCCACGATAATACGGCAGCACACGCTTGGGGTGTACTGTAGGACCCCTCCGGACCTGTCGAGACACCTGAAGCAGCGGCGTAGTAAGGAATTTTGTTAATTCAGTATTTACTGTTAGTGATGACTATATGAAGTTTATGCAGCCCCCAGAACCCTTTTGCACTCCTGTCTATTTACTGCTCCTCGAAGTCCCTGCTTTTATATGCGTTCCCCCCATTGCCTGCATTTCCGATTTGACTATACCGTAGTTCATACTTTGTGTGATCCCACTTTCAGCGTATATGTTGTGCTGAGGTGCAATCCAAAGGCACCAAAGTAAAGAACAGGTCAGGCTCAGTCATTATGCAACTTTCACTGAACTATCAGACGAAGAGGAGCAATCATAAGTATGGCTGTCTAACATGCTGAAGCAACACTATATGTTCTCGGATTCCAGCTAGTACTGCACGATGCTGGAAACCAAACTTCTCTTCCAAGATAGCCTTTATGGGGAGTCTGCTACAGCCAGGCACATAGCCAGGCGGGTAAAGGAGGGGAAAGGGGAGGTGCCAGCAAAACTGGAGGACTTTGAAGAGGACCCAGATCAGGCTACCTGGGCCTTCTCCCTGGATATGTGCCTAGCTCCAACTAGTTTTTTGGTCTCCAAGTGGGAACAGTGTTAACTGCACCCTTTTAGCATGAGGGTAGAGAAATAAAATAGGGAGAAAAAAAAAAAGAACTGTTTTTGTTTTACGCCGCACATGCAGAAAGGAGAGAAGGTAGTTCTGAGGAAATTTCAGAACAAGTTTTAACTCCCAAACTAAGACTCTGCTGACGCTAATGACCGGAAGCGGGACTTCAATATCCCGAATGTCCTCTCTATAACTTGACGCGTCTTGGTGAGGCACATGTTGTAGGCTTCTTCGCCCTCTTCCTCCTTCGGCTTGCGAAATGGCGTCATCAGCCATGGCTGCAGGGGGTAGCCTGCATCCCCTAAAATATTAAAAATAATATGAGATATCACGTAAAACCATGCATAAGTAATACAATAGATATGACTGCTTGGGGTTTGGGCTTGCAAACAAAGCGCTCCAGCAATACCTGAATTGGTAACCAAAGGGTTGCAAGTTCGTCTCCCAAGCTCTGCCGGTTTCGACATGAACGGGCATTCTGTTTGCGTGGATTTGTAGATCACTACTACGAGGGGCACCCTACAACTTCCAGGACGGCAGACCTGCAGCGCTCGCCCGAAATTCCCCACTACAGCTGTAGTACATTTCCAGACTTGAACACATGGAAGCTCACTACAGTAGATAACGAGAAGAGATTCATGGAAGAAAGCTGCATCGGTTTAAGCTTAATTCCTTCCTAACTTGTTAGTGGACACGCAAGTAGCACAAAGGAAATGACTGGCTCCCTTTGTCCTGGTTTAACTTATTATATATTTAACTAATAATTATCTAGGAGTTACACTAAAATGTGCAAGCTGGCTCAAACCTTTGCCAAGATCCAAATGCAAAAAAGGCTGGATACCAAGAGGCTACGAAGCATATGGTCGTTCAGCCTGTCAACTATTAAATATATGAAATCCAAATTAAAATATACCTACCCAGCAACCAGCCATCGGGCATGACCCCAGCCTCGAACTTCTCCGACAAGTCGCAGTTGCGCCACATAAAACTGTCATGCGTGCTCCCCGGCCACTTCACTGTGAGCTGTGTGATTTCGTTCGACGCATTGCAGACTGCTTGCACATTCAGGGAGTCGTATCCTTTCCTGTTTCGGTAGATGTTTTGGTCCTTCTTCGCAATCTTGAGGGCGATGTGCGTGCCGTCGATGCACCCCAGCACCTTGGGGAATCCATTGATTTCCGCAAAGCCTACAGATTAAAACAACGAAGTGTTCAACATTCTGTGAAGCAGTGGACATCTTGGATATTTTATTTACCACATTACAATATATACAAAAATTGGTCTATCAAAGAGATGACCTCTAAATACTCATTCATACCTCAATTAAAGCACTATCGCACCCATTTAAACACTATTACCAAAAAAAAAAAGAAGGGTTTTGGGGGGGGGGGGGGGGGGGGCAAAGAGTGCTTTTGTTAGTTGTCATGGGCATTGCATGAACAATGCATTGCTGACTGAGAGTCTCGGCGACCATTCCACACAATGCCGTTGCTCACGTCAATCTATACAACTTCGTTCGCGTCAATGAAAGTTACACTCATTAGGGTCATGCGGGATGCACTCACTTGATCGAATGACGTTTTAGCGAACGCTCACGTTCCCCCCGATTAAAGCTGATCAGGCTGAGTAAACGCGCTAACAATTCGCACTGAAATAAAATAACAGGGGTAACTAACGAGCACGACATTGGGAAAACACTTACCGCGTGCAGTACGCATTGCTGCCTGCGGGGTCACGGGGAACTTGATCCCTTTTTCAGCAAAGTTGCAGAGCGCGCTGCTCACCGAGTTTATAATGCGCGAAGCACTCGTCTGGCTCATATTCCCCACGTCGCCCACGACCGACTGAAAACTGCCGCTCGCATAGAAGCGAAGCGCCAGTAGTACTTGGGCGTCCACGGGGAGCGCACAGTTCCGAGCCGTCGGACGGCGGAGCGCAGGTGCGAGCGCCTCGCAGAGTCTCTCCATGGCAGGCCTCGGGAGACGGTAGTACCTCGCCAGATGGTTATCGGCGATGGTGTCGAGTGTCCGAGGAGTGCGGAACACACGTTGCTGCCGTAGATTCCGCTCCGCGTCGCGCTGCTGCTGAAGTAGGTAGACGACGTACGCGGCAGCCATTTTGGTTGAAAGTCGCCAAAATGTTCGTAAGATCGATCGGACCCCTGTCGTAGGATTTCGTCTTAACTTACGCAAAACTTGCGAACATTTTGCTTCGGGAATACTCAAAAGTTCGTAACTTTGTCGTAAGATAAATTTACGAACTTTTTTGTCGTAAGAAAGTTTCGGGAATCTGGCCTCTGAATCTTATGACGATTTGTGCCGAGGAGAGTATAGAGGTGCCATTTTTCTTTGCAATTCTGGGGTAGATCCGCACTCCAATTTTAATGTTTTAACAAACTCTATTC